TGGAGCCTCAAATAGTCTGCTTAAGCACAGAAGCCTTGCACAACTTTTGCAACAGACAGTAACAGACTGCACACCGCACGGCTCTGAGCGCATAGTTAGGTAAATAGCACCTTAAGAGCACTTCATTAAAGGCTGAATGTTGCTGAGCTACGGCGCTACTTTAATCGCTGGCTACGTTTGTAAAATATGAAGCAGGTGGTCCCACTGGTAGAAGGCGACAGTCGTGGCTGGGAAGGTTTCTGCGCACACCACGCAGTGGACACGGCGGCAGCAGAGCCCAGGAGCTTGCTGAGAGGGAAACACGTCGCTGAACAGTCTCATCAACCGTGCTCAGCCAGCTGCCTAGGAATGATGTCCACAGCTGGGGCGATCACACCCGGACAAGATAAACCAGTCACTTGTGGGCAGGATCAATTGTTATTTATAAACAGGCTTAAAGAGGCTGGCAAATGTCTTCCCTCACGTCGTGCTGTATGGCTCCAGCTTCCTGAAAGTCAGGCTTGACTTTACTGATCAAACGGGTTATTTCCAACCCCTCTAAAAGGGCAATTTCTCCAGCTCCACTTTAGAAAGTGTTTATGTTGCACTGACAGCTGTTCCAGGAAATCTGCAGCCTAGCCAGTTCTTGAAAGGAGTTCTGCATTACTCTAATTTAGTGTATCTCCTTTTTAAGCTCTTCAGCTCTGGATGAAGTAAACTTTTTGGATCCCATCACCACTACAGCAATACAGGTAACTTAACGATGATCTTTTTTCTTTAAAAAAAAAGGTAATTTTTGACTGACCTTTTTTGTTACTTCGAGTCAAACTGATTTTATTTTGTTGACCTGGATTTCTTGCTTGTTCTGAAGAGAAGCAATTTACTTATCTGCTGTTTCAGTATTTCACATCTGGACTGCTATGGCAGCCTTCTTGACATCGTTAAGGACCAGCACAGAGCTGGCTCTTTTCCAGCTTCTCAGGCTTTCCCTAGCAGCCCAGAGACTGACAGCAAGCCGACCACAGACGCCTTCGGGTGGCTTTCACAGGACGGCAAAACACCATTTACTGAAGGCTGCGGATCAAAAAAGCGTTCGCCCCAATAGATGCTATTTAAAACCCTCATTACTGTTTGCCTAGGCAGTACATCATCCCCATCTGACACCAGCACCAACACAGAATAAATATTTACAGAACACTTCCTCCTCCTCTCATTACAAACAATTCTGCTGTCTGCAGTTGCTAATGGACATGTGCCATCTTCAGTTACATCAAAAACAAAAGGCACTCCAAAAAAAGCTGCTTCTGTTTCTAGCCTTGTCGCTTATGGGCTTTGTTTCCACTGGTTTCATTTGTGTACTTTGTAATTTCTAGCTTCAACTGACTCTCTTATTTCCCCCCTTCAGTGATTAAATCTTTCAGAGTTACTGCCCTTTATCCTTCTCTTCCAAGGCCATTTGTTAATTTCCTTTCAGTTGCATTTACACTCATAAGCCATTTAAAAATTTTCAGTTTTCATCCATATTTTTGTCTAAATTCCCTCTCCCTGTAAGTCAGAGTGTTCCCTCAGCTGCAGCAATGCCCCCGGAATACTCCACATTGCCAGCTGAAGCGCCCCTTCGCTGCCCAGCAGCAGGACCCACCGGCCGGATGGTGGGCAAGCGGACCTTCCCACCCAGCATCCCTGCTGTTTGCTTGCACTGAATCACAACCCAGCCTCGGTGTTCCTCATGTGTTCTGCCTTAAAAGTCATCAGAATGTTCAAATTCTCAGTGTCCCAAGAAGCACAACAGCAACCCCGTGCCCAAGCTTCAGCCTGAAAATAGGAGTATTCTGGTCTGCGCACCTCTCAGCTTCCTGCAGAAGACTCGAGACTTGCATTCCCCAAACCGGAGCTACCCCGAACAGAGCTACCCCTGCGCACCAAGCAGCCCCTAAGCTACAGGCCACCGTCTTCCCTGGCTTGGTGTCCAACACAGCCCTGCCCGCTCACACTGCTTTCACATGACACCACAGGCGTTCACAAACTACTCATTACCCTCCATCAGCAGCGGTTTCATTACAGGGCCACCACTTCACACGCCTCTCTAGCCCACAGTTCCTCAAAAGCTCGCCGCTAATGGTGGCCATTACCACCCAGTGTCCTACCCCGCCAAACCCAAACCACTCAAAGGGGTGTTTGCGTCCTTTGTCACCCTCGCACCTTGCCCAAAAGCCATTTTCAAGTTCTGACCACATCCTCCCCTTGCTCTGTCAGCTGAGCACCCAGCTGATCTCCGGATAGACCCCAGCAGAACACGTGTTCGCTTCCTGCCACAGTCTTCTCGCCCACTGGATGATGGCATCGCGTCTCCTGTTACCACAGCTGTACCACACAGGCAACCGACACCTTCCAGGGTTTACTTCCTCTCTGTTTAAGGCAGGAAGCGCCAGGAAAATGGTTTAAGACAACCTGGAGACTGAGATCCAGGCTGTGGCAGGGGTACCACAAGCCATATGAGCCACCGTCTGGATCAGAACTCGCCTCTATTTTTTTCTGTGCGAAACGGGAACCCCTTCTCGAAGCAAAAGCAAAGGCCGACTCAATGCTAACTCACTTGCACAGAAGACTTGACAGCAGCTTCTGAGCTCATGGCTTTGACAGGGTGAGAGTAGCACTGCTCTCCACCTATGCAGTCCTCTGAATGGCTTTAATAACGAACCCCTGGAGGAGGTCTGGCTTCATGACTACAAGAACAAAACTGCTCCATTGACCCTCACACACGTAACCTATGTGAGGAAAATATTTCATGTTTCAGGTGAAAAGCTTCAACCCTCCTGAATAGCAGAGAACAAGCAGGAAGAACAGACTCGAGCTCATCAATATCCAGGCCGTGCCAATGGAATTGATAAAGGGGAGCTTCAGTACAGATCATCATCTCCCAGTTACCTGCAAACACTACAAAGAGAGACACGTCTTCAGTCACTGTTTCGGAGCCTAACATTACCTTAGTAACAGCAGCTGGAGCTTCTGGCAAGAAGGTGATCCAAGGTGAAAGCGACCCACTGGGGAGCAAGTTATCAGGGTGTCTGGGAAACCCATCCACATTCTCGGATGCAGGTGGCTCGTCCTGATGGCCTGTTTTCTCAGCTGTGCTGCCCAACAGCCACGGTGAGGGTTGGCCTTCTGTAACCTCCACCTCTCCTCATCTGAGAGAAGAGAACTGATGAAGTAAACAATCCAACAAAAATGTGAACAAATGCCCACCTTCTTGTGGCAGCACAACTGAAGGGGCCGGTATTTTTCACAGCCACTAGAAAGCTTGGTAACCTTTTGCAAGTATGTCCGGTCCATTTTCATGCCCGACTCAGGCAGAATGCCACACACTAACACCGTTTGGGATTGCTACTTGAAAAAGCCATACCACATTCAGCCTTTAGAATAACAGTAGAGCTGAGAGTGAAAGAGTAACTACAGAGACCAACTGCCGCAGTTTACTTTGGAGGTGACAGCAAGGCATATTTGTTTCCATGAACTTTATTTAATTCCATATTATACAAGTGGGATCTGAATCCCCAAACTTCCCACCATCCACATCATGGGGAAGCCCCACTGCACAAAAGGAAGGGAGAATTTTGGAGCCGGAAGACAGGCTAGATCAAGCCATTGCTCCCCATGTGGTCAGAAATTCTTCCTCCTTCACACAATGTGCTTCCCACACCAGCAGGTTTACCCCAGGAATAAGAGAGACAAAGCTAGCTCTACACACTCCTCCCTCCTCCTCCTCCTCTCCCCAGCAAAAGAGACTGCTCAACGACAGTAGTGGAATGGTTAAAGACAGGGAGTACATTAGGTTTTCAGTCTCTCAACCAACCCACTAGATTAAGAAGTGGCCTGGTTACTCCCCCTCTCCTGAAAAAGATCCAGGAACATCAAAGACCTAAAATGCTGAAAACTTACCTCCTTTCCTTCCCCCATCCCATAGCCCTGTTCTCTAAGCAGAGAGCGGGCAATGAACTCTGAGGAGGCTGAAGGAAAGCCAAGGAAAATCAGGGGCTACCTGAATCCCTGGGAATCTGGTGGCTACCCTGGTGCCCTCATTCATTCCCTTTGAGGTTCAGAGACCTGTTTGGAATAGTACACAGAGAGGGCCTCCCTTAGGGATTCGGAAGCAACCAGGGATACAGAAGACACAGGAACGGCTGTGAGGGTACACACCATTCCAGGGACAGCCCAAACCACAAACAAGGCAAGACTCCTCCCAGCCAAGGCCCCAAGGGTTGGGGGAGCTGGGACGAGGCCCTGGCAGGGGGAAGAGAGTTCCTGCAGCAGTACTGAGGGCTCATGGGATTTTGTTTCTTCTTCCTCTCCTGGGAACAGCGAGGGCAGAACCTGGTAGAAAGGGAAGTAAAAAGTCAGCACTTATGGCATGATACGAAACCTCGAACATACAGTCCCAAAGGACCTTTTCCAAGGTCTCAGACAAAGCATAATTCAAATTTTCCCTTTTAAGAAGTCTTCTAAGTGTGTATATACAGTACTCTCCCTTCTGCCACCAAAGACCTCCCCTTCCCAATGACCAATGGGCCCTCCACGTTGCTTGTTCACTCCCCATTTTCCTCTTGGTTTTGTTGTCATA